TCTGCCCGCGCCCCGTCCCGGTCTCAGCCGGGAACCGTCTCTGCGCTGCCGGGACCCTGCGAGGAGCGGCTGTCCCAGCTCTCGGGATGCCCGGGGAACCTCGGAGCGCTTTGTCTCCGCCGAGCTAATGAGCTTAGCACCAAAACTGTTGTTCAGAAAGTTAAGGGGTGGTAGTGATTTCTGGAAGCAACACGATACTTAAATCGGTTCACGATACTTAAATCGGTTCACGATACTTAATTGCATGATTTCGTCATGCTATGGCGATGGGGACATGGAAAAAAACATTGCTTCCCTGTAGCTTAGATAAGGTTTGCCCCTTTTACAACTACACACATAGAGATCTCACACACTAGCTAAACAAACACTTTATTTTAGTATTGCATTCTGTTGTTTTAGTTCTGCATTTTAGACAGATTCCAGACTGCGCTGATGGGTAAGAATACATCCTCCTCAGTAGTCAGAATCCACACCAGGAAAGTATTAAGTAACCAGTTTTTTTGCCAAACCTACTTATTCCTTATTTCTTAAAAAGAAGCATGAACTTCTGCATTTGGCTGCTCCACTGGAAAACATGGGCCTGACTGAACTGTCTGTCCCTCGAATCAGTGCTACACATAATATTGGTAATGCAGATTCTCAGAGTCTAAGCCTGCACACAAACTACAACTGGCTTTGTGGAACAGATCCCGTGCACTTCCTGATTGCCTTGCTTCAACAAATACTCCCTGTCATTTACTTCTCCTCACATTTCCTGTTCAAATTTCCAGTGCCTTGGCAGATCTCCTCCTCGAGGTTTGTTTTGTTGCTTTGTTTTTGCACAGGGGGTTTGTGGTTCTTTTTTACACTCTAAAAATATGCGATTTGTCATGCAAATAATAATTCTTATTTGCTCTTATGAAAATGGAGTATTTTTTGGTAACACTTCTGTGTATTGTGTTCTTGATAGCAGTTCTGTATTAATCTAATTGCCAAGAGACTTCTGCAAAGGTGTACTTCATTAAATGTAGTGTTTGTTAACAAAAGGGTCAACGCTTCTTTTTGGCTGGRTGCATTTCCCAGCTGTTTGTTCCTTTGTTGGCAGACAGCTATAAGATTTTGGCTGGTGCTTCAGGATCCACCAGTAAGTCCCAAAATAGTCAAGTAAAAAGTCAAGTAAAATAAACTGGGACCTGACCTGCAGCTTCAGAGTTAAAAGTCCAAAATTACAAAATGAAATACAGAAATTATTTAATAGTGCCTGATCTTATTGGCCAGAGCGATTCTGGAGTAGCTCTGCCAGGATTTCCCTTTCACTTCTTTTTTTTGTCTGGCTACACCCTCAGTAGTAACACTAAAGCATTGATTAGTAAAACTTTAATTATACTCACAAAAGATGCAAAATATTGCGTTAGGACATAATCTTTAAGTGACATAATCTTTATCAGAAATTTTTCTTAACAATGGAATAGCATCATTTCTGTTGCAACAGCTGGTCTTGCCTTTATGAGTCCAATGCAGAAGCAGAAAGGGAAAAAATTACTTGACAAATGCATTAATAAATGTGCAAGTTCATCTAATATTGAGAGTTCTAACTTAAGGCAGGAAAGCTCAAGCAGAACTGTACCAGCTTAGAGCTACAGGAATTCTCAGCATAGCATTTGCTATGTAAAGCATTTGCAAGTAAAGCAAACACAATTACACCCATCTGGTATCAGGCAGATGTGCAAAGCTGGCAGACAAGGACATTCGGCCTGTAAATAGTGGCTCAAGGTCCTGGCACAGGAACGCAGTTCATCTGATCCAGATGTTCATTTTTCCTCAAAAAGTGTTTGTGAGCGGTGTTTTGAGCTGTTTCACCAACTGCTGAGTAAGAGAGCAGAGAGGAACCGAGGCTATTTCATGTTGCGCACGATTCTCCTGCAGTGGTTCATTTTCATCTCGCCCAAGGCCTGCTCCAGCTGCTGGATCAGGTGCAGAAGGGTGGCAGGGTCAGTCTGCAGCACCTGGGCACTTTGATCTTCGTTCTGGTTAAGATGCAGCTTCATAGTCACGGCAGGCTTGATCTGCTGTCTCAAACTTCTGCTTGCAAGCTGCAGGAGGGGTTCAGCAGGACAGAACAGGGAAATGATTGGTGTTTATCACTGTTTGTACTCAACAATTCTCATCACGTTTGCAGAACCTGCCTGAGGACTGTTCACAAACCCTTTTCATTCACATTACAGATACCCATGACCTATTATTGAGTTTTATAATTAAGGAATACTAACCCACTTCAATCAATGCTTTCGTAAGATTTCTGAAAATCAGGTGATAATCTAGACCAAATATATGAATATTTTAGAAACACCAATAGAGCCATGAATTCARTTTTCATCAGGCAACAAAGTACTTTGCACCACTGCGTATCCCGTTTATCTCACAACTGGCTAACAAAGTCATGTGAGTTTTAAATACATGAAGTACTGCTGCCTTGATTATTTTACACTGTTTAGCAGGTTTTTATGATGTTAAAAAGTATGAAGTAAAATAGGAATACTAAAACTGAGAGGAGAGTCACCTGCACATCCAGCCTCCACTCCAGACTGTGGTAGCTGGGAAGCCTTGGCGCCAGCTCTCCAAGAATGCTTCTGATCTCCTTCCTGTTGTCAAGGTACAGCTGCAGCAAGGATTTGTTCAATTCATCCGAGAATCCCAAAACATGAATGGAATCTTGGAAGTCAACCTCAGAAATCTAGAAATGAGAATCCAGGCCTTAATATGGAACCGTGTAATCATCGTCATTTCTTGAAAACCAAGTAAAACTGTAAACATCATRTATGCTGTGGTGCAGTTATTTTCCTGCAGGAACGTCCAAGTTCAATCACACACATTGGGCAAAACCAACACCCAGGTTTTAAGGGATTTACAGATGTTGATGTATTATATGGATCTGCATGTAATACAATGAGGATTTGCATGAGATTCGTGAACACATTTTTTAAAGCAGAACATTCAACCCCCTCCCAGGTAAGCCTTCACATCAAAGGAAAGGCTAYGCATCATTTTCGTATCCTCCCCACCTGCTCTTGGGAGCAACACTTGCCTAGATTTAATATGGCATTTTTTGTCTCTGTATCCCTTTTCATTGCTCAAATATTCTGCTATATTAATAGTTACAAGTAAAACGGTAATTGTCCAATTACTACTGTTCTAGTATTTGCTTATACCCACTCAGAATTTTCATGCCAGGAGTAGAAAAGCTCTCAAACCCACCCACCACATTGGACAAAGACAAGGAATGCTGAACAGGGGGTTAGTCTAGCCTACATCCTGTACAGTAGTGGAATAATAAAATCGTCACTTGGGTTTTATTATTTCAAGYTTAATCCTTAAGTAAGCTTCTCTATATTACACTATTAAAACATTATAAGTTTAGCTTTAGACACTGACTACAAATTCCAGTCATACATGCAGCTATAGTGTTCCAACAYGACAACGGTGTGAGAACCCTTTTTGTGAAATTAAAAACAACACGCGTTACCAAAATTTTGAGCTGTTTCCCCCGTTCACTAGTATTTCAGAGGCCTAAGTGTTCAGAAGATTTCTCTCGAGTGTATCCCCGAATTCCTTATGAAAAGGTATACTTGCCATAAGCTTGGAACTCTCAGTGAGAAGATACGCTAGTCCTTCCACCCCATGCTGAATGGTGTCAATCCCAATGTTCAGCTTTCCTTTAAASAAACCACAAAGCGCCTTTGTTAACCGTCACAGAAAATAGCCCCAAAGCTGCAAAACATGCCTAGAAAAAAAYCCCAGGGTTTCACACCCTTCAAATAATAATGCATAGCATGTTAGAGACCCCCTCAAAGCAAAACACCACAAAAAACACAAACCAATTTCTTTCGGCATGCTACAGGTAAGGGTTTGTGTCGGAAAAGAGTTCTTCGTAGCGTTCCCCATAGTGGGCACGAAGCACYGTCAGCCGCGGTGCACCGGGGGCTCGGGGACTCGGGAGCCTGAGCAGAGCCCACCGCGTTCCCGCCCCGAAATCGCCGCGGCCCGGCCCGATCCCCTCGTTCCCCATAGCTCCGTTCCGATCCCGTCACTCCCCATAGCTCCAGCCCGATCCCCTCGTTCCCCACAGCTCCAGCCCGATCCCCTCGCTCCCCACAGCTCCAGCCCGATCCCCTCGCTCGCTCAGCCCGGCCCGATCCCCTCGTTCCCCACAGCCCAGCCCGATCCCCTCACTCCCCACAGCTCCGGCCCGCTCCCCACAGCCCCAGCCCGGTCCCCTCATTCCCCACAGCCCGGCCCGTTCCCCACAGCTCCGGCCCGGTTCCCCGCCCGCCGGGGCCCGGTTCCCTCGTTCCCCACAGCCCGGCCCGGTCCCCAGAGCCCCGGCCCGTTCCCCACAGCCCAGCCCGGTCCCCTCATTCCCCACAGCTCCGGCCCGTTCCCCACAGCCCCAGCCCGGTTCCCCCGGCCGCCGGGGCCCGGCTCTCACTGGCGGCGGCTTCGCAGGCCCGCGGTGCCGCTCCCCGCCGCAGCTGCTCCAGCGCCAGGCGCCCCAGCTCGCCCACGGCTGCAGAGACACAAAGACAAGCAGCGCGCTGCAGCCCCGGCTCGGCTCGGTTCCCCCCGCCCGCCAGCCCGTGGCAGCCCCGACCTGCGCCGCCGGCCCGCGGCAAACAGCCCAGGTGCGCCCGGTGCTCCGCCGACAGCACCAGCAGCATCGCCGCCACTGCCAGGGAACGGCGCTGGGCCGGGGCGCCTGCGCGGGGCTGGGGCCGCCGGGACTGGGCTGTGCCGCGCCATGAGGCGTTCCTCACGATCTGCTGTCCCNCCCGGCCCGTTCCCCACAGCCCAGCCCGGTCCCCTCATTCCCCACAGCTCCGGCCCGTTCCCCACAGCCCCAGCCCGGTTCCCCCGGCCGCCGGGGCCCGGCTCTCACTGGCGGCGGCTTCGCAGGCCCGCGGTGCCGCTCCCCGCCGCAGCTGCTCCAGCGCCAGGCGCCCCAGCTCGCCCACGGCTGCAGAGACACAAAGACAAGCAGCGCGCTGCAGCCCCGGCTCGGCTCGGTTCCCCCCGCCCGCCAGCCCGTGGCAGCCCCGACCTGCGCCGCCGGCCCGCGGCAAACAGCCCAGGTGCGCCCGGTGCTCCGCCGACAGCACCAGCAGCATCGCCGCCACTGCCAGGGAACGGCGCTGGGCCGGGGCGCCTGCGCGGGGCTGGGGCCGCCGGGACTGGGCTGTGCCGCGCCATGAGGCGTTCCTCACGATCTGCTGTCCCACATTGCCCGGGCAGCTGCCGGGACTGGGCTGTGCCGCGCCATGAGGCGTTCCTCACGATCTGCAGTCCCACATTGCCCGGGCTCATGCGGGGACGGGGCTGTGCCGCGCCATGAGGCGTTCCTCACGATCTGCTGTCCCACATTCCCCGGGCAGCTGCCGGGACTGGGCTGTGCCGCGCCATGAGGCGTTCCTCACGATCTGCTGTCCCGACATTCCCCGGGCTCATGCGGGGACTCGGCTGCTGCTGTGCCCTGGGACGTTCCTCACCAACTGCTGTCTGACATTGCCCGGGCTCATGCGGGGAGAGTCCACACAAACTGCTGTCCTGGGACTGACATTTCCTGGACTCATGCGGGGACTCGGGTGCTGCTGTGCCCTGAGGCGTTCCTCACAAACTGCGATCCTGGGGCTGACATTCCCCGGGCTCATGCGGGGAGAGTCCTCACAAATCTGCGGTCCTGGGGCTGACATTTCCCGGGCTCATGAAGGACTCGGCTGCTGCTGTGCCCTCACCAACTGCGGTCCCGGGGCTGACATTTCCCGGGCAGCTGCGGAGGGCACACACGGCCGCACCGGGGACTGAGGGCTCTCCCCAAGAGCGTGCTGCTGCAACGAAACCATTCCTCTGTGTTTTAGACCTGTGAGGTAGCAGGTTAWAATTCTGTGTTGCCTTTGCTGCCTGATTATTGTGTTAGTCCGCCTTCACGGCACTGTTCGAGCTCGCTGTGCTGTGTCACCCAGATGCTGATGTTGCTGTCCGGGTGTGCTGAAACAGCAGCAAAATGTGTGCACCTTGTTAAATAAAGTAAAAAGCAACAACAACGATCACATARATTAAAAACCTCAGGCCTCTAAGTTATTAAAATTAAGTAAAACAACTTCTCTTAACTGCTTTTCCTCTRAGAGAGTCCATTTTGATAAACACCAAGGCGGGTCAACTTTTGAAGGGTATTTTTAGAACAGAATAGGATCTGGAAAACGTGAGTAAAAAAAATATTACTACATATTGTTATTGCCTGGAAGCAGCACTAGCTTTTGCTCAGACAATGCTGCACTTYTCTGCTAGACTGGCAATTGAAGACATTGGCTAACTGAGGCAAGCTTCTCTATATGAACTGAATTACACTATTAAAATGTTCTCAAGTTTTAGCTTCAGACACTGAGTACAAACTCCAGAGTCACACATGCAGCATGTCACTAAGACTCCCAGGTGAAATGTTGTGCGTTCCAGCATATTTTTTTTTTTTCAATTTACAAACTTACAATTTGCCATAGATACATCTACATGGAAATATTCGCAATGTTAGGGCTGGGAAATAAGCACAACTTCCTCTGAAGCTGGTGGGCGTCCTTACGCTCAGTTTGTCTCCTCCTCTCTCGGCCGAGAGTTTGGATTTGCTGTTTAGAACAGGACACTCTGCAGAAGTCACATCTCCATTCTGGTGGAATTGCAAACCCGCACGGTCCGATGCCGCACAAGGCCGCTCCCGAAACCTCACGAAGTGTTCCGACGCCTCCCGAGGCTTCCCGAGGGCCGCCGGTGCCGCCCGAAGGTGCCGCCCGAAGGCGGCGCGCGGCATCGCGCGGTCATCGCGCGCCCTCTGGCGGCGGCGGGAGGGCAGCCAAGGCGCGGCCCCGCCCCGCCGCTGAGTGACAGCGCGCTCGGCCAATGGGCTGCCCCGTTGCGGCAGACGCGCKGCGGTGGGCGGGACTTCCGGCGCGGGCGGCGATCGCACGGAAGGCGCCATGGCGTCGGCCTAGGCCGCCCCGGGAGCGCGGGGCCGCAGGTGAGCGCTGAGGGGCCCCGGCAGCGCGGGTGAGCGCTGSGGTGCGGTGACGGCCTTTGCGGGGGCTCCGGCCGGGCGTTCGCGGGGCTGGGGCGGCATTGCGCAGCGTTTATTCGTCCCCACCCTCGCCGTGTGAGGCGGGGCCCGGTTCCGTGCGCGGCTTAGGCCCGGCCGGGTTTGAGCCCAGCCTAAGCGGCGGCGGGACCGGCACTTCCCGGGACTGACATGAGCCGCTGGAGCGCTCCACGAGCGTGGTAAAAGCTCGGCTCCTTTCGTCTGTTTATGTGGATTTATTTCCGCCCGTGCTCCGAGGTTCTGGTTGGGTTTGCGGGATAACGACCAGCGTGGAGTCTTGACCGGCTGAAAGTCAAATTCTTGGTAAAAGCGTTAAAATTAATGGAGAGAAATTATTCCTGCCTCTTAACAAATGCTGATCTTTGCGTGCGTCAGTGTCCAGGTCGCTGGTGATAAGTCTGAGATAAAGGGTTGTGTCAATAATGATACCATGGCATCAAAATGCCWAAAGCTGGGTACGGGGAAATTCGAGGATGTGAGTGAGAATTACTGATATTGGCTGTGGAGCTTCTGTTCGTGCTCTGTCGATGACATGCTGGAAGGTGCAGCCCAGTCTACCAAAATATCGGGAATGTTGTCACAAATTTTCTGTATKTTGAAATTATTTTTGTGATTGGTATAAGAATTATAATCTTATTTGAGGACAACTTTGCCTAAATCCACTGGAAAATCAGTTGTAAAGTGTGGGAGATTGCTGCAGAGTCAGGTTTAACTCCTTTGGTGTGGTTTGCAGTGTCCCTCAGTTCCATCCACCTGCATTTCTCGTGTGCTCTGAGCTGCTTTCCACAGAGCCATGGCATTTCAGGAATTGTGAGGGTTTTTGGTTTGCTTTGGAGGCAGCAGCTCCTCGGCACAGAGCAATTTGCGTGTGTGTGACTTTGGCAGGGAAGACTGCACCGTTTGTGTGTGTTGTTTGCAAGAACCACTTTAATTCTGGGATTTTCTAACCTTGCTCCGTGCTCTTTCAGTGCTTTTCTCTGTGCTGAATTTGCTGGATTGGTTAAAGTGCTGTGGATTGTTGCTTCTGCCATRATAAAAATGGCTGTGTTTTTGAAATAGCTGTTCTTTTATTTTTGATATTTATCCTCTGGGAATCTCTGACCYTGTGTCAGGTAGCCATTCCTCCAGTTCAGCTTGCATTTCTCCACAGCACAGGTTGAGGCTGAATCCCCTCTTCAGCCATTGCTGGARCTGGTTTTGGATGCTTGGCTTTACTGTTTTCTGTGGAATTGTCACCTCCCTCTGAGTGCAGGCTGAAATTGCCTCGTGTTTGTGTTCTGAGAACAAAGAGAGATTCTGGAATGAAGCCCATTACCACTGTAGCTAATGCATGTATTAAATTTGAGAGGGAGGTCAAAGTTCATGCAAATGCATGGGATTGTTTTGTTTAGTTCTTGATTTGTTTGATTCTTGGGTTTGTTTTTTGAGGGTATCTCAGTGACTTAAGTCAGAGTGGAGTGTCATTGCTCATACAAGGGAGTCATTCAGGCCCTTTGGTTTTTTAATACATTGTAAGAAATTCTTTGGCAAAGGAAAAATATTAAAGTGTTTTATTTTCTTCCTCCTAATCCCCTTTTTTGCTGATGAATGATAAGGGAGTAGTTTTGAAGAGTTTCTGTCAGAAAACAAGCTCATCYATTTGCTGTTGGGGTTTGCTCCCGGGTTTGATGTGCATTTATTAGCAAAGCAGAATTTACATCCTTTTAAAGTGGTGAGTTTGGGAGGTGCACCTAAGCAAACTTTGCACTGTGTAGTTTTTCAAGTTGCCAAAATGCTCTTTCCAGGGCACAGGAGCTGCTGCCCAGAGCAGGTGTCCCATTGGAGCATCTCTGTGTCTCTGAGGCTGATGGAACTGSTTTTTGTCACAAGTTGGTAGCACATTGCTTTTGCAGGTATAAATGTAGAGTAAATGCTTTAATGGAATTGTTCCTGGTGCAGCAGGAGTTCTGCAGATGTGGATTTACGCTGGAAAATGGGAAGTTTGAAATGAAGAGTATCATGTGAACGTTCATCCCTTTGTACCCTTGCATTGTTTTGTGGTGCCTGAGCTTATTGAAGTCTCGGTCTTTAAATTGTTGTGGTTTATTCATGTAGTCTGTCCCATGGAGGTGATGTGCTTCTAGCATCAGGAACTTCTAAAACTATAACTTTAAGAGCACTTGTTTCTCACAGGTRTATATTGAATAACATTTGGCATCTCTTTTAGCAGAAAGGTTTTAGCTGCCCAAGAGTCCTGTAAAATGACACAAAAAGGATTTAATCCGTGCTGTAACTCTGATTCTTTGCTTGCAGGTTTGGAATAAAATATGCTGTTGTCAATAGGAATGCTGATGTTGTCTGCCACTCAGATTTACACTATTGTGACCGTGCAGTTATTTGCCTTCCTGAACCTTTTACCTGTGGAGGCAGATATTTTAGCAGTAAGTATAATATTTTTCTGTATGGATGAAATCTCAATAAAATTGAATAATCTCTTCAACTATTCTATTAATGAATCAGTTAATGCAATAAATGCTATAGCTGGTTGCTTGGAATGGAATTGCCTTAACAGTTTACTGCAATAAAAAATAAATTGTACATTTTCGCATGAGTTTACAGGTGATATGTGCTCTGGTACCAGGGCAGTGAAAGCACCCAATTCCCTGAGTCATTGACAGAGTTCCACTCTGAACAGATGGAACATGTTCAAACTTGTTAAAGGAACTGCATGCTTTGGGTTAGACAGCAATTTAAATTCTGGTGATGGGTGCCATTTTGTAGGGTTACTGGATATAAATAAATAAATAACATCATCTGCTGTGGCTAGTGTGATTTATTGGTATGTGCTGGAGGCTTTGTGCATATTACACCTMGGTGTAATTTTTAAATAGCTGATGGTATCTGCTATCATTAAGGAAAATAATTTTGGAGTGTGTAGAATATGAAACGATCAGGTTAATAAACAGTATAATAAACACAGATGAGTGGTAAAAGCTGTTGCTGTGTTGTTTATTATGCATTTGATGTATTGTGGCATTTTGAGGAGCAAGTTGTAAATGTAGGCTGGAGCTTAAGCTACTGAAATAATTAGAGCTGATCAGGTTCCTGGTGGCTTTCTGCTTGTCCCAGAAATATGCAGAACAGTTGTTGATGTCATCTCAGTTTTGGAGAACAGTGACAAACCCTCAGAGACAAATTTTATAATTAATAAAAATGAAGTTTGTGCTTACGTGGAGTTGATGAATACTAAAGTATGTTATTTGGATCTTCACATTGTTGCTATTCAGTGAAGACAGATAATTGCTTTATCATGGCACTGCCATCTCCATTTT